TAGCATCTTGACTTCAAAAACTTCTAATTTGAACCAGTGCTGCATTTAACATACCACATGACACACAAAAATTGATGCTTATCCGGGTTTTCTTTTATATTTGCTTTTAAATTAAGAAATTGGGTAATATGTAGTACTAAAATTTGAATTATAATCTACAGTTTGATACCAAAGTTATTGATATAAATTCATGAAACAGTAGTTCAATAAAATTTTGAATGTGAGACAACAAACAAGATGACATAGCCTTTCACCCATGACCCATTTTGAAAGGGTTAACAGATAAAGGGAAAAATTCCCCATAATTTAATCCTTTAAAGGTGTATAATTTCAGGAAAACTCACTCACTTTCTGCATTGGTAAGGAATCCATCTTCTGGTAAGGCAATGGAACTCGAAACACCTCTGTTGTCTTCCACCACAAAGGAAACCCAACAAAGGCAAAAATCAGAGCAAAAGTGCAGATGGCATAAACTGCTCCAGCATCTGAAAGATATACACACCAAGCATTAATATTTGTGAATTGAAAGTACACATTGTATACAACAGGTTATTATAAAAGTTTCAAAAAATGCATGTCACAACCACTGGAAACAGGATACCTATAACAAAATGTTTGATAGTTAATTTCAATTATGTCAGATAAGCAAAAGTCATGACCCACAAATATATTTTTATATAGCAGTGCATATATCTATGTATATGACTATGGTTTTATATAAAAGATAATTTTCATTGATAAGTGCAAAACAGAATTTTTTGAGACAGGCAATTAAACTAAATATTTAACTGTTGTTGTAATGAATGAAATATATACAAAATGGCATAGCACCAAGCAGTTTATATTTTTAAAATAAATATTTTGGGTTCCTGCACTTCCTAAGTTTAGGCATTAAATTTACTCTTAACCACTTAACTCTTTCTGCATGGGCTCATAAGCATTTTGTGCTTGTTATAGTTTTCATGCTATAATTTTTAAATTAGTAAGTGTATCTTCAAGAAATTTTGCATATTATCAGTAAACATTACAAAGATTTTGCACAGAAAATACCATGTTTTTTATATTAAGTTTTAAAATTCATTAAGTAATGTTTTTCTTGTGTCTTTTTTCCTTTTCGAATGTTGACAATCCAACATGCAAAATAATTTTGATTTTAAGATTAAAAATATTTTTATACATCAGAAAAAGTTCAAATTTCACATGAAAAATCTTTATAACCTCCAGATAATTAGCAAACATTTTTCTAGAAAAAACTTTATATTTCATCTGTTAGTTTCACTATTGTATCTCTGTACAGGTTGGGTCAATTTGATCGACCTCATAACCACCATAAAAAAATTAGGAAATAAATATAAGTTATGCTTTTTTATTCTAGAATGACTACAAATTATAACAAGAAAACACAAATGTTTAGTCTAAATAGCTTAAATCTCATAACATTATACATTTATATGTATTTATTATTTTTAACACATTGATTTTTCAGCCTGGCTAACAATACAGAAGTTACAATGATGCAGCACACGTGCTCTCATGTTACTGTATACATTAATGTAAAACTGACCTTTAGTCTTTACAAAGTGACCTGTCTTGGCTGTGTTTTAGTGGACTAGTATTTTGTAAAATATAGTCACATTTTCATTATTATACATTATATAAGTATATAGATTATTACTATTTAGAAATAAGTTCTTAAACTGATTTTTATTAAAACATAGAACAGTAAATAAAGAAGTAAAACAAACAAGTATCTCTTCTAGTTATGACCTTTGTACTCAGTTGCTGCTTGACATAGGTTGTAAGCCTTTTACAATTTCGTACATAAGAGGATATAAAACAAAATAATTTTTTAGGTTTTATATATACAGTTGAATAACCAAAAAATCATAAATAACTACAGGTAGACCCAGCTTTACAAAAGGGTTATGTTCCTGAAAAATCTTTTCAAGAAAAAATTTTATAAAGCAAGATAGATTTTCCCATTCACTACCATTATATAATTGGAGATATGATCTCAACGAAAAATGATATTAGCCAAAACATAATAAACTGACAGTGATCATATTTTTGGGGTAAACAAAGAATATAAGCCATTAATAAATGTATTAAATCCAAATTAAGTACTGTACGTACAAGAAAGTGGAGTGGTTGACACATATGGTGATGGTGTGGGTGGAGGGCATTGTATATGTTACCGGCTAGTAGGAGAAGGGGTAGAATGAACTTCTGCTTCACAGTCATCATCGTGAACTGCAGGAGGACTGGCAAGGGAATCCATTGGAACAGTTGAATCAATATCTTCCTCATCACTTGACAATGTAGATGGTAGTTCATCAATAAAGACAGCGGCAGAAGGATCTGCTTGGCAGCCATCATCTTGGGCAGGAGAAACCACTGGAACAGGAGTGAGAACATCATTGTCGTGGCTAGGAAGAGATGCAGCAGGATGCAGTGGTGCAGACTTTGGTTGGCTGAAGAATGCTGTTAATGTTGTTTGCTTAGCATGCTTACTTTTTTCTGTATAAAGTTCTTTATACGAAGTTAGGGCACTTTCCATATTGTGTTCAAGTTTAAGGCTTCAATCACAATTTAGGTCATTTTTAGTCAGGATTTCTACAACTTGATCAAACAGGGAGAATGAATATGACAGCATTTTCAATGTTAAAAACAACTACAGCTCTGGTTCCTCGTCGTCTGTCTTCATCAGCAGCCTGTTCTTGATCAATGTTCATAAGTTCTTCATTCGTCAGTTGTTCATGGTGTGATGCCAGAGAGTCATTGATGTCTTGCTCTTCTGTTCCATTAAACCCAACCTGATGTGCTAATGATACAATTTCATTAAGAAAGGTTCTGTATTAGGGATGCCTTGAAAATCATGCACACATTCTGGCCACAGTTTTCTCCAAACTCCATTCATATTTGAGGTAGTAACTTCCTTCCAAATTCTGCTATGTTGTCTATGGCATCCTTGATGTTGAACTATTTCCAAAAATCTCTGATCGAGGTGTTTCTGTCGCTGTCCATTGCCTTGCTCATTTGTCTGAAGACGTGTCATAGGTAATACTTTAAAAGTAGCTATGACCCCTTGATCCAGGGGTTGGATCAAAGCAGTCGTGTTTGGGGAAGAAACTCCACACGAATGTTTGTTGATAAGTCAGTTAGGTTGATAGGGTGGCTTGATGCATTGTTGACAAGCAGCAGTGCTGTATGGGAAATATTTTTTCATAGAAAAATATCTCTCCACTGCAGGACAGAAAAAGTTGGTAAACCAATCCTCAAAAATTGTTTGTTGTCCAAGCCTTCTTATTGGACCTGGCAGAATGATGAATCATAAAGGGTTTCAACTTCAAATCACCCTCTGCATTGCCTCCCAGAATTATAGAAACTCTGTGACCTGGTGCTGACTTCTCTTCCCTTGACAAGACTGTCCTGTCTGGCATCTTCTTCCAGTGTAGACCAATCTTGTCAACATTGAAAACTTGAAGGGTCATATATCTTTGTTGTTCGATAATACCTTTTAGAACTGGTAGGTACGCTGCTGCTGCTTCACCAGTCATCTTTAGGCTGTGTAGATTGTGCCTTTTTTAAACCTGTTGAGCTAGCCTTTACTTGCAGTAAAAGTGGTAGTTTCTTTAGTACTTGTACAAGGTCTTGGTTCTGTCTGTTCTTTTTTCTTCAAATAATGAAAGTGCCTTTTCTTGCAAAGCCATGTCAGTCATCTGCGAATTTTTCCACTGCTTCATGTCATCCACCCATAGAGCTCATAGACATTTCATTTCTTCAATTATGTTAGGGCAATGCCTAGTTAATAATTTAGCAGATGCAGGTGTCAAAGACTTTGCACAACTTTTTTTTTTTCTTTCTTGATAGTTGATATAGTTGATGGTGAGAACTTGAATGCCTTGGCAATCTCCATGAGTCTCTGGCCTTCAAACTTTTTGATGATTTCCAGTTTTATTGATACTGAGATGGCTTTTCTTGCTTTTTTTGACTTACTACTGGCACTAGAATCACTTGCAGTATGCTTACTAGTCATTTTGGATTTAAGGGCTGAGTACAATCTAAATAAAACTTGAGAAGTCATTGGTTGTCACCTACCATGATTCAAACAAGCTGCAGGAGATGTAAACAGACCACAAGGTGGTATGAACTCTTTGCACATGGGCTGGTCAAATTGTGCATGTCACGACGTTCTAGTGAGTTACATTCAAAATTTAATTAAACTACTTAATTACCATGATATACAAACAAACTCGACATCAAACCATAGATAACAACTCAACTTTTAATATAAGTTTTAAGTTTTTAATTATATAACAAAATATTTAAAAACAATCTCAAGTTACCCTAGTGTGAGAATTTGAATATTTGTTCTTGAACCATTTCCTCTTCTGGATTTTTTTGTTCACCCCCTTGAAATTATGAAATTATATGTAAAATATTTTGGGTAATTTCATCATTGATCTTCTCAATCTATATTTTTTATCCTTCAATCTTATGGAACTAAAGAGTAATCAATGCAAAATGCAAGAACCTCTTGCCACAATTTGCTTATAGATTTTTCTGAGGCCGAGTTCTATTAAATTTATAATCAATAGAAAGCCTAATGATTAACTGAATGATTAAAGTATGATTCATCCTACATGATCTTACAGATAATTGACAATTTAGCTGATGAGAAAATTGTTTTTCCAACAAGTCACATGGTTAGAGAGCAAGAAAATTTCTCCCAGAAATAACTGTTTCTCAGCTGTTCATATGAAATTATTCAGTGTTCTTCCATGTATTTACTTAATGAAAAAAATATTTGGTGGACTAGTAGTATTGATGTAAACTATTAGAATTAACACAGAAGGACAGTCAATGGCAAAAAAAAAAGGAATACATGGGCGAATGATATATTTCTTGTTTTTCTTATCTTTATTTATTATTATCCAAGTAACTAAAAATGTAAAAATTAGAAACCTTTAGGCTAAATAAGATTAAGTTAGGTAATATAAATATAAATAACATTTAATACTGTGAGAAAGAAATTGGCAAAAAATACCCCCAAAAAATTCGTAACTCTTGGGAATATTCATAACTCCAGAGTTTGGTACAAAAACATTTTTTTGTAACTTTGAATTTTCATTAACCAGGCATTTGTAAAGCGGAGCCCACCTGTATATTGATACCATAGAATTCCACTATAATTTATCAAGCTTAGTAACTAAGGTGTATTTGGGTCTAAAAAAATATGAAATTTCAAGCAGACTAAAGACACAACCTACTTCCTTGAAATCTTGATTCAAAAGAATGAGATGGCATCCTAATGCATGAATATGGCTAAGAAAGCCACTTTGGGGACATTCTAAACTTTCAATTGGTTATTCACATGTCATATATTGAAGTAAGTGTATATAAGGTACCGTTTCCAAAAATGAAAAGATGTGAGTTGGGCCATCATGTTTGATTCAGTACATGAGTGATATCTCAGCAAACAGAA